CGATGAAACCAGAAAATAGATGAGAATTTTGTCAATTAGTCTAGAGAAAATTGATATACGTCTCTTCAGGCTGGACTGAGTTAAAAAACTGACCCATCCAGTCAGAGGAGGCATGGTCAACATTTACGTAACTCAGTCTCTAGGCTAATGGACAAAGTTAACCCATGCTTGGATTCCCCAAGCAGCGCATAGGAGAATGAGTTATTTCCCTTTTGGCAAATAACTCACCACAAGGTAACAAGTATAGTTGGCATGCATGTGTTTGAATTCTTTGCAGCAGAATCACCAAGTCATATGCAAGTGTCCCTTGCCTTCTTTTAAGGAACACTTGCATCCTGCCTGTCTTGGTCCTGTTTTCTGTTCTGCAGTATCCCTCAAATACTTGGAGCCCACCTCATCTGCAAGGCCTTGAAAGCTATATCTGAACTCCACCACTAGAGATTATCTTCTCCATCTCTTGCTTCTGGTGATTAGTCTCATCCGCTGGGCTTGCTCTTCTTTCTGATGTTTTTTCCTTCTCTTACATAATGCTACTTACAGCATTAAGTGTGGCAGGCCTAAAGGTCCAATGCAAAAGATGGCTTCCAGGCTGACAATAAACTGACTCTGAACTCTGAATGCTCTTTCTCATCAGGCCATGAAGAAAAGCCTTTTGATGCTCTAAATTTACAATGTTTTCTTCAAGGACCGCTTTGGACATGTTGCAAATATTTATCATATTGTTTTCCAGTAGTAAGATAAACATGGACTGCAGGTCTCAATTGCAGATTCCTATTTGATCATCTTCATTTTTGTTTCTATAGGTTCCACCAATGGAAGCACTTTTCATTTCTTCTTGTTCTTTTCTCTGGCTAGCATTTATAAATGTGACCTGCATCTCACTGAACTATCCAGGGAAATAATTCACCTCCTCACTGCAAGCGCCTTAGTCCAGAACAGGCATGGACCTGGAAACAGTGGATTCATACCTAGTTTTGCAACCCTGTAGCATGAAATGGGTCAAAATAGCCCATCTTCTCTCAGATTGTCTGCAGTTGAGAAGCCACCACCTTCAACTGCTTTATCCAGCTCTGCACAGCTGAAGAATGGTCGATATTTGCCCACTTGGGGGGGATGCAACAGAAAGCTTTAAAGGTGGTTTGTGCCTCAGGCACAAATCCAAGAAAAATATCACAATAAAAAAGCACAATATCCAAGAAAAAAAAACCCTCAACTCCATGTTAATAGAGATAAAGTACTTTTACTAGATATTAAGTGAAAGCAAGATCTGAGTCAGAAAGGCAGGAACATATCAAACGTTTACCCAGCACCCTCCCCCAATTCCTCAAGCCAGTGTCCAATTTGCAACTCCCTAAGGTGTCACGTGGGGTGCATCTTCAAACAGCCTCATCAAGTTGGTATGCGAGACGGTTGGCCTTGACCAAATCCAAACATCAGCCACCAGCATGCACAGAAGATGGTGAGAACAAGACTCCTCCAGTACAATATTATTCCCTTCCCCAATACCATTAATTAAATTATTTTTAATAATTTAAAATTAAAAACTAAAATTATTTTATGGGAATCAGAATGCCTTCCAACACCACTACTCACCTGATTTCCCAATATTTTGAAGGGGAAAATGTAAGCAGGCTCTAAATTAGCCCTAACATACTTGAAAAATAACTCCTCCCTGTCCAGGCGAATGACAAAAGCGGCCCAGCTCCTTCTGGGCCCAAATGAATCTCCCTTGTTCTATCCCTTAATGTTGAGTTAGGCCTAAAGGACTTACTCTGCTGGTACTGCTGTGCTGCAGCATTGGCCTGATTGATGCCAGCCTGCAACTCCTCCTTTTGCAGAGCTCCATCTCTGCCATCCTGAAAAAGAAAAATTTCTTGACTGACTTTGTCAGGTTAAGGGGGCTCTGCCTAAAATGCCTCTAAATCAGAACAAAATGAGAAGCTGTGAACAAAGAGAGAAACAGCATCTTCAGCCCTTCAGTATTTCGTAACTACTCCCGTTTCCTTTTCTCCCATAAGAAAAGAAATCTGCTTAAGAGGAAGCAGGGACTTTTTCTGGTGCTATCAGTGCAGAGGCATCTCAGAAAAAAATAATTATAGTGCCCTATTGCGGGCACCACTGCAGTCAACCCACTGCCAGTACTGATCAGGCACACAGCCCAGTCTGCATGCCAACATTGCGAACTTTCCCACAGCAGCAGCCCAAGGACAGCCGAGAGCTCCTACCTTTTGCTTTTCTTGTTTCTCATGAAGAAGCTGCTTGAAGTACCAATCGCTGTTTTCGGGATGCAGCGCACGGAGGCCCAGGGCAGCTGAGGACAAAACTCTATACAAGGCAGTTGCATCTCCCTGGTCCAGAGCCAGATCAATCTTAGCTAAGGCTGAACGTGCTGGAGAAAAAGAAAAGGAAATCTACATGGAAGCCAGTCAGGTTTCCGCCTTCATCAAAATGTCCTCCACCAAGAAATCTGAAGATTATTGATAAGTCGCAACTGCCAATATTGAGAGACGTAGCCTGCCTGGAACAAACAGGGTTGAGATCTAGGCATCCGGCCAATTCTACTGTTAAAGTATTTGTAGAAGATGGTTTTAACATACACAATACGTGAAAGCAACATTGAACAGAAAATTGCCTCCACAATGTTGAGGTTTACCTTGCATCTTGGAAAAACCACCTAGATTTAATCAGCCCTGCCTGTGTGATAGTTTCGAACTAGAACTTTGCCTAATTTATGGTGATTAGCTATGGTTATTTCAATCTTTAAAGATGATGATCCCGGTTTAGTTGAAAATTACAGGTCCATGACTTTATGTTGCATTACATGCAAAGGCATGGAATTCATTATAAATCAATTGATTATTCGCCATATGGAAGAAAATATCTCATTATCCAGCAAACAGTTTGGTTTCAGGAAAAAAATTGTTGTGCAATTTACAACTTTTGCATTGTAAAAATATTTGGACTACAGGCCTTGAACAAGACAAACCCGTAGATGTAATTTATATAGTTTTCTGATTTAGTAGTACATGATAAACTGCTATAATTCTTATGTTATTTCTGGATGTTTACACAAGTGGATCCCTGGTTTTTTTGTCTAACAGGCTGCAGAAAGTTAAAATAAGGCCAGGGTCTGATCTGGGGTCACCTAGTGGGCAGGACAGCATCTAAGGACCTCCCCTTTTCCAGATTTATATACTGACTTATGTAATAACTTAAAAGCTCTTGTGTCTCTTCGCTGATGATTTAAAATTATTTAACACTACTGAAAATTCACTTGTTTTGCAAAATGACATCGACCACATTTTTAAATGGTCTTCAAACTGGCAACTTCAAATTTTGGTTAAGAAATGTTCGGTTTTACATATAAGGAAAACAAAACCGGAATGTAAAGCATAAGCTAGGTGGTACTGACCTCATTTTATTAAGAACCTGGGTGTACTAATCTCTAATGATTTATCTTCTAAAATTCATTATAACAGCATTGCTAAAAAAGCACTAAAAATTATGAATTTCTTTCTATGAAGTTTTTTTTCTGGAAATACTGTATTGCTCACAAAACTTACATTAGGCCAATCCTAGCATATAATCAACTACTTGGAATCCTTGGTACATATCGAACATTAATACAATCAAGTGTGTTTAGAAGTACTTCACAAGAACTTTTTTGGGGATTTCCCATCTCCCCAAGTTTGGAGAGACAAACTACTGATTTTCCATATCCATCTTGCCTAAAAAGAACAGAAGGCATAAGTTTTTCACCACTTTTTGTTTATTACATAAATAAAGTTGCTTGACTCCAAAAGGATCCTGGGTAGCTTATAGTATCTTAAAAAAATGAAACCGAAGTGCCTGGACGAAAGCACGCAGATTCCAAAAAGTAATAACAACTCCAGAGGGGTTCCAGAAGGGCTCCAGAGACCCACTAGCTCCAGGCTCAGGAACCGAGGCAGACCTTAAGGGACTTCTGGGATGCTTGAAAAGCAGGAGCTGCATGAGTCTGCAGTCTGGAAGCATTTAACTATCCGATATCTCCCAGCTGTGCTGCTTACTTCCAGCTAAATTTCTAATTTCAACTTTAGAAGAGGAAGAAAATTATGAATAGAGCATTTCAGTGAAGTAGTGCTGGGAATATGGAATAATTTGCTGCTCCTTGGGGGTGCTCACACAAGAAGGCAGCAAAAGAAATACTAGAATAAATTCTTACTATTAACTTGATTGACGTTGCCCTGAATCTCTGCTTGAGTGAGTAGCTCTTCATACACATCACGCTCTCTTCCTGCATCCTCTGAGGCAACCTAGAAGCAAACCGGCACCATTTAGGAACTCAGAGATATCCTCAAGCCGACAGCCTTCCACCAGAACATTGATGATGCTGATGGTCCCTTCACTGGATCCTCACAGAGACAGAACTTGTAAAGGCCTTGAGGCTACACAGAGATCCAGCACTACCTTCTTCTAATAAATAACGGCACGTAATAAAATATCACTAAAGGTAATTAAATTTGCAAACAAGTTATAAACTGCCAAAAGTTTTTGAAGGAACAAATGAGAAGTGATTAAAATATGACGTCAATCAGAGACCAATTTATAAGCCCAAATTTCTTTCTTTTTTTTTTCTTCAAAAGGTTTTTATTTTCCA